GGAGTGTTAGAATACACAAATCAAGGGTATTTTGGCCATTTGGGTTTATCTATTTGAGAGTGAAAGGTCTATTTTATTTAAGTTTATGTGTCTCATCACTTATGAGGAACAATATGGTCTTTCTTGTAACTATGTTATTGGAGATAAATACAAGTGGGTCGGCTAGAGGTGGACTGATTTTTCCTAATCTGGTTGAACCCTTCTTCTTCTCTTCTTCTTTCTCTTCTTCTTCTTCTCTACTTTAACCTAGAATCGAATGGGGATTTCACAACTATTAAGAGCCAAACTGACTCTATCACTTTACTAGTTGATCAATACTGATGATGCAGACGCTTGTGCTGACTAAGCATTGACTCAACAACTAGGTTGAGCAGTCAACATAATTAACCACAAAGTTATAATTAAAACTTCATTTATTTGTGTATAATATAGTACATGCTTTCATTTTGTTATATGCATGCTGCTTCTTTAAGTATTTGTGATTGAACATAGTCGGCTAAGTGGAGAAGTTCTTAAGTTTTTTTTCCAAATCAGTGGTATGCAGGGATGCAGTTTCTAGAAACAAGGGGCTCATCACATAGTCAAGATTACACTCTTTCTTTAGAAACAAACACTTTAACTCCCTATCTTAGCCTATCCAGCCTAACTTCCTTTGCTATGTTTGCAGAGAAAATACTCTAAGCTAAATGTTGAATATTATTCTTTTATTGCATATAGTAGTCTATATTATCTTATTTATAAGATTGCTTCTATGTCTTAAATTTAGAGCACATTGTTTGTACAAACTAATAGAGAGGCCAAAATGACTAGTCATCATCTCACCACATTGATAACAATAATGTATAAATAGGAAAAAGCTTGAGCCTGGACTCTGGAGACAATGATTCATAACAGGCTCTAAAGGCCAATTACTATGCCATGTGTCCAACACTTGGATGATCAAGTGTTCAAGACCCACCATTCAATGGTTATAACCATGAACATTAGTTGGGGTAAAATTATCTAAAGATATGATACTAAATGTGTGATTTTTTTCTGCAAATATCTAGATGTCCAAGAGAAGTTAGAAATCATAAAAAGCTGTAAAAATCATGTGAAAGTATCATACAGTTAAGAGTCAAAAGATCATGCTATTTTTGGTAATATGCTTCAACAATAGGTCCTGATGTCCTTAATATCCAACACAAGGCAAGTCTTGGAGACCCAAAACAGAAACTACAGGTCCTGGGGACTCAGATCCAAGAAAGTCCAACATTTAGTAATACAGTTTTATACTCATCTAATATAATAAACCTTCATTTTTAACCCAGAGAAGGGACCATTGCTTGGTGGAATTGTAAAATCTCAGGCTGACAAGCATGAGAATGCAGATTTGAATCTGATAGCAACTACTTTGTTGGGAAAAAAATGTCAGAAGTTAGGTCCGTATCAAGTCCACCCATCCCAAGACCCCAGATAGCTGGACACAACATTGGGTAATGGTCCTTATACAGCAGAGAGAGAGAACGGGCCAGTAAGCAATTATTGATATGCTTGCATAACAATTCAGTACAAAACTTGCATTATCTTTTTTATGGGTTTGCAAGGAATACAAATGCAAGTGGAACTTTCTCTTTCAGACAACTTTGTCAGGCAGCAACATACTGTAGATACAACTAAACTAGTAGAACAAAATGGCAATTCATGAAAAACAATTCTGGTTCACAAAAAACGCTAAGAGTACCTGAATAAAGTAAACTAACTCCACTTCAAATTCGACTTCTTCAAGGCCATCTACTTCCAGCATGAAAGAAGATTGAGTTAAGTATGGCTTTGTAACATATAAAATTGCCTTTTCTGCCCGAGCCATTGTTCCTATTCCCATCTCAAGCCCTTTGGGTACCTAAGTTAAATTTAGGAAATATCAAACATCATCCCAGGAAAAAAAGAAAACTAGTATTCTAGAGATTTAAGACATTTGAAATTGATAATTCTAAGGACTTGTAAAAAAATTGGTAGGCCAAAGTGTGTCAGCGTTTCAGCCCATACAGAAAGTAAAAGCAGAAAACAGAAAAAAAAAAGTAGATCAAGAAAAGAAAGCTTGAATAAATGAAAAGAATAATGGAACTACAATCTCTTTGTTTTTGGGAAATCACCCATGTCAATGAACTCAGCAAGAACAGAAAGAGTAAAATGCAGATTATACACCAGTAGTACTTCATTCTTATGGTTACATGAAATATACCAAAGATGCATAGGTATGCATTCATGGTTTACCAACCTCAGCTTTTCCAAAAGTGAATGAAAATGGTTCTCCTTCCATATATGAAAGAATCAATTTCCCGTCAAGTGTTTTTGCAGAAATCCTGGAAATAATTATTCAAAGCATAGAATCTCAAAAAAATATTAGAAAAAATCCTATAACAATTTTATTGCAGTATGTATTTTCTAAGCAACCTAAAGCAGGAAGGAATAGGGGAAAGGCAGAGAAACAATGTACCGAGCTTTTACTTCATAAGGTTCCCTTGGTGACTCCCAGCCCTGTCCTTCATTTATAACCTGTCAAAATAAATTTAAAAATGGTTCTTATACAATGCATCACTGAGAAATAAAGATAAGGAAAAGAAAATAAAGAAAAGTGACAAATACAAGTTACACCCCAGTTAAATGAACCAAAATAAATAAACAAAAATTAATACTCTAATTTTACATGTTCTTTTTTTTTTTACATTTCATGAATGTTGAAAGGACCATTGTCTTATGTTGCTAAGGGCCATTACCCAATGTATGGGTGTAAATGGTATCCGAAAATCTGAATTCCAATTCAAGATTTGGCATAATGGAATCGAATTCAGATAATTCAAATATTTTGATCACAAAAATTTGGATATAAAAAACATACTGATTAACTAATCAAGTTGAATTCAAACATGACTTGGTTTGACTCGTTAGATATCCAACCGGCTGATTTGTCATAATACAATATATTGTCATCATAAAAGCTGTCATCCTTCTCTGTTTTTTATGTTAATTTGTCATAATAACTGTTCATACTGAAACTTTTCCTATAATGATCCAATGGTTGGCCCTTATACCTTTTGGACAAAAGAGGGGTGGATCTCTCTCCCTGTACTCTCCTTTTTCCTCCCTCGGTCAATGATCCCCCCCCTCCTTCCTATTTCATCATGTAGAGATACAATAGATACAGTAAATCAGTCTTCAATCTGTTATTTGAGTATGGTCCTAGATGGTTCTTATTTGTTTTTTATTGCCATTTTGTTATTTGCTTTTATCTTATAGGAAGCAGGGGCATAAATCATTGTATCCTGCTTTTTTAATTGCACATATAAATAGTAATGAGTGGGGAGGCAGGTCCAATATACTCTGCTTCCCTTTCTTTTTCTTTTCTATTCTCTCTCATTCTTCTCTTCTGCCTCCTCTTCTCTTTTATTTTTTGTCTAAACCTGGTCTGCTATCAACTATTTCAGCCAAGTTGGTATCAGAGCACTGTTTAGGACTGAACGGTGCTCTCATGTGGGCTTGATCCAGCTGCCTATATAGGACAATCTTAGGGATGGAAGTTCTAGTTTCTTGGAGGTTATTGGAGTTTGTAGCTGCTGCCCAAAGTTTCAGCTTTGGACATTGCCCAGTGACCAGGAAGAATCAGAGACAGCAGACCAGATTAAAGACTTGTGGTTGAAACTTAGGTTGGAGGTGGCGCTTAAGGCTTTTTGACTAATTATTATCCTCTCTTAGAGATAGACAGCAGAAGAAAGTGTTTGGAAGCCTCTGGAGGGAGCACTTCACTTTTCTCTGCTTTCTCCAATGCTGTCACTAAATGTTAAACAGCTCAGTCTTTTCTAGGCTAGACCTTTCTTTGAGTATCTAAGAAGTTAGGGACTGTTACATCTCTGTTAGTTGGTGCACTGCTCCTGGGGAAGACAGTTCCACCTGAGGAAGAAGAGAATTGGACCCTTATTGAAGTTTCGCAGTTGTGTACAGCATGGAAGCTACTGGAAATGAGTCTAAGTCTCATGGAGAAAGCTTTATGGGCTGTTAGTGTGGTAGATGGTAATCCTTTTCAGATTACTATCATCAAGTTTGATGGATCAAACTATTTAGAGTGAGCTCAGTCAGCCATGATGGCCATTGGAGGAAGGGGAAAATCAGGGTATTTGACTGGTGATAGTATGAAACCAGCCAAGGGAGATCCCTCACATGCCAAATGGGTTCAGGAGAATTACTTAGTGATGACTGGGTTGTGTAATTCCATGCAGCCTCACTCATATTAGCAGTAATTACCTTTTTGGTAAACAGCTAAGGGAATTACTAGCCGCTGTACAAGGGATTCTTTTATAAAACCAGATGGCGGTGGAGCATTTGATTATTGAAGGGGACTACAAGGTAGTGGTGGGCTGGCTGAATAACCCCCAGAATGCTGACTGGTGCTCCAAAAATGAAATCAAGAAGTTCAAATGTTTTTGAAGTCTTTGAGGGTTAAACACAACATTTAACAATGTTTGAATTGATTAAATCATAACAAATAAGAAAAATAATAAAAAGAAATTAGTATATAAGCGCACAAAATGAATATTTTAGTTTAATAATCTTTTTTATAATTTTAATCTCAAAAAACTAAGATATAAAAATATTTTATAACACAATGTACAAAACTGCTTGGCGATTAGGTGAGGCAAGGCTCCAAGATCACCTAGGCGATGCCTTAATAAAACTATGCCAAGATGAATACTATCATAGTGTTATTTCCCCTTGCCGCTAATTTCTCATGGCCATTATTTCAAATGGACATCAAGAATGCTTTTCTTAATGGTGACCTACAGGAGGTTTATATGGAGTTGCCACCTAGATTTTATGATACAAATACAGGAAATGTCTGCAAGTTGAAGAAAACCTTATATGGTCTAAAACAATCTCTCAAGGCATGGTTTGATAGATTTAGACTTACCTTGGACAGATTTGGTTATGTATAGGCCTTGTCAAATCACACTCTATCTATTAAGAATGAGTATTCTTTGACTCTCCTTGTTGTATACGTAGATGGCATTGTAGTGATAGGCAACAATACTGGTGAGACTGATTCCCTTAAGGAGCTCCTCAATAAGGAGTTTGAGGTGAAAAATTTGGGTGAATTGTGGTATTTTCTAGGAATTGAGGTGGCTCAATCCAAGCATGGCATTTTTATTTCCCAAAGAAAGTATGTCCTTGATCTCCTAGAGGAAACTAGAAAACTTGGAGTTAAAACTACAGATACACAAATTGAGTTAAATCAAAAAATTAGTGTGGTGAGCTTCTTGAAGAGAAGACCATGTATCAATGCCTTGTTAGAAAATTCTATATCTTTGCCTGGCACGCCTTGATATTTCCTACACAGTCAATGTTGTTAGTCAATACATGCATTCTCCCCGAACCACCCACCTTCTTGCAGAAAAGAGAATTATTGCCTACTTGAAGAGATGTCCAAGCCAAGATATACTGTTTAAGTGCAACGGTCATATTAAAATAGAAGTGTACACTGATGCTGATTGGGCCAGATGTGTTGATGATAGAAGATCCACTTGAAGGTATTATGCTTTTGTTGGTGGGAACCTTGTATCTTGGAGGAGTAAGAAATAGAACGTTGTTGCTCGTTCCAATGCTGAAGTAGAGTATAGGTCTATGGCTCACGGAGTGGCTGAGGTGTTATGGTTGTGATCCCTTCTTGAAGAGTTAAGTGTTGAGTATAAAAAGCCCTTGATGTTGTATTGTGACAAAACCAGGCTGCCATTAACATTGCCCACAACCCAATACAGTAGGATAGAACAAAACATATTGAAGTGGCTCAACATTTTATTAGGGAGAGAGTTGCCACTCAGGAAGTGTGTTTACCATATACTACCTCTGACATGTAGCTAGCTGATCTCTTCACCAAAGCAATTACTAAAGTCAATCTGGAAACAGATTTACACTAGTTGGGAATGCACAATATCTATTCCCAACTAGTGGGGGGAGTGTATAAATACAATAGATACAGTAGATCAGTCTTAAATCTGTTATTTGAGTGTGGTCCCATGTGGTTCTTATTTGTTCTTTATTGTTGTTTTGTTATTTTCTTTTATCTTATAGGCGGCAGGGGTATAACAGTCATTGTCTTACTTTTTTAATTGATCATATAAATAGTAACGAGTGGGGCGGCAGATCCAATATACACTGCTTCCCTTTCTCTCTTTTTCTTCTATGTTCTTTCTCATTCTTCTCTTCTCTTTTATTTTTTTTCCTTGCTGTTTTCTTTGTCTAAACCCGGTTTGCTATCAACTATTTCAGCCAAGTCTTTTTTCTTTTAAGAGTAAGTGAAAATTCATTTAATCAAAAAAGAGAGTTACAATCCAATAGGTGACAAGTTAGCACCTCACTAAAAACATCAAAACAAACGCTAATTATGAACAAAAACTGATCCAAATTACCACAACTGAATTTCAAGAACATTCCAAAAATCCCCCCCCCCCCATCTCTGATTTACTGATCAAAATCTGGTAGCACCCAAACCCAATCCGCTACTAGTTTCCCAACCAGAGTCACTAGTGTTTCAGTGTTTTATGATTTGTCTTCAATAAGTCTTCTGTTTCTTTCATTCCATAGGAACCCAGCATACTGCAAAGGGAATGCAGCTCCAAACTAACCCTGCTTTCCTGCTCCCTCTAAAGCTTGGCCAGGAAGAAAAAATTTCTGCTGTTGAACTTGGCTGAAATACTCTTTCCCCAAAAAACGAGTAGAATCTCCAGATAATATTTGCAATCTTGCAAGTGTAGAACAGGTGGGAAACAGTTTCTTCATCTGAACATCATAATACACATATTTTCCATGCAAGATTCCTCTACCTTTTAGATGGTCAGCAGTTAGTATGCTGTCCAAAGCAACTAAGTGTAAGCTTCCACTCTAGGTGGAACAAAATTCCCCAAACCCCCTCCACTTGATCTGAGCTCAGCTGATCCTTCACAAGCGCCAAGTAGAAAGACTTCACAGAAAACACCCTATTCCTACACTCTTTACACATCCCATCCCTCAAAGAGGGTGAGACTTCAATTTTCTGAAGCTTTTCCAACAACTAGAACACATTCTTCTATCTCCTGGTCCAGCAAAGGTCTTCTAAACTTGGGGCACCAAACAACCTGATCTCCCCTCAGTTCAAAGCATTAGTGAACATTGACTTGATGCTCAGTCAACTTGTAAAGCTTCGGGCACACCTCACAAAGCTTCCCTGCTTCACACCACTCGTCCTCCCAAAATCTTATCCTTGACCCATCATCCACCTTAAAGCTGACTGAAGCTTTAAATGCTTGATGGAACTGCATTATTCCTTTCCATTGATCCCAAGTCATGACATTTGTTCTCGCTAGATGTCACATCTTTTGTGGCTTTCATCTCCCTATTGATCCCAACGTGTCTTCCATCCTTGGTGATGCCACAAAGTGAGATAGCAAAGGACTAAGTTTTCTCTCCCTTCCTCTAACCCACTTCAAATCTTGCTTGCGTATCTGAGAGCTTCATTAACGTTAGCATGC